TCCCTGGCCAATCAAAAAAAGGTCGCGTATACAAGCACATCGTTGTTGGTCGCCCAACTCGTATTGTTTGTATGTTTGCCTTTTTTGTTTTGCTTTTTTTGTCCCTCCCCGAGCCAGACACAGCGGAAGTGTATTCGAACGCAGCACACCAGGAATCAGTTGTTACGTCTGTTCTAAGGGAGTTCAGTCTTCTCTTACACAATCGGGCTCAATGTGTGGCGCACCGCAAAAAGATTTTGTTTCAAGGCTGCACAATAGGAATCCGTGTATACGTCAGTACGTAAAGATCTTGTTTGTAGTCGGAAAACGTATGTAAAGTCAATGCGCACATGCCGAACCATGGTGAAAACAACACCAGCCTTCCTTGCTTCCAGGTGTGTTTGTTGTGTGCGTGTTCGGCTGAATCTGGAAAACAACTTCCAACTAACAACGCATCGCGCCTGCCGCTCCAGATGTTTTGCTTGTTTGTTATATATGTGCTTGTTTCTGTTGTCGATCAGGCCGCCCTCCTTCCCCACAGCAAGGCGTGAAGGAATTCGATTTGAAAGGCCACACGCAGAAATCAATTCGCAAGTCTGTACAAAAGGATTAAACATTTCTTGCACAAAAGGAAGCAACTTGTGGTTCCCCATACAAGGATGCGTTTTGAACGCTGCACAAGAAGGATCAATGTAAATCCCGTGCGCAATATTTCTGTTTGTAGGCCGCACCATACTAGACAATTTGGCAAGGTCCATCATCATGAGCTCCAGACCTCCACGTGATGATACGGGTGGTGAGAATGGCAATGACGGCGATTCTGCTCAGGTCCGCTCCCGCGATCCAGAACGAAAGGGAAGTGAACGCGAACGGATCAGATCTAGCCGAGAGCGGCTATTCGATAACGACTCGGATAACGGACGCGCGGCCCATGATATTATGTTGGCATCCCAATGCCAATCAATTTGTCAATGTCCATCATCATGAACTCCAGACTTCCTGATGGTCATACTGGAAACGAGGATGACAATAACGACAATGATGTTCAGGGCCATTCCTGCGATCCAGAAAGATCTGGGAGAAAAGGAAAATTGATCACACTGATACGACGACGGCTATACAATAACGGTTCGGATCATGGACGCGCCCCAAGAAACGGTGTAGGCCGCAGACTGTCAATGAATCAGTCAATGCCCATCATCATGAGATCCAGGCCTCTTGGTGATGATACTGGTGCCCCCCCTAGAGTAGGCCAACATGTAAAACAGACCTTCGTAAAATCAATGATTTTGGCATTGTCGCCGAGGCCTCTTGGAGCGTCTTGGGTGCCTCTGGGGGGCCTCTTGGGGGTCTCTTGGGAGCCTCTTGGGGGCATCCTGGGGGCCTCTTGGGGGCCTCTTGGGGCCTCCTTGCCACCTCTTGGGGCCCTCTTGGGGCACCCTTGGCCTTGCGAGCGCTCGTGTGGCCATCTCGAAGGAGATCGATCAAAGAAGGGGGGCTCTTAATTAGCGCGGCCCCCCCAAGAAGCCCAAAATAAGGCCCAAACCTAAGTAAAACCAATGATTTTGGTTTCCTCGCAGAGGCCGTTTTGGACGCTCCGGCGACCCGGGGAACGCCCCGCCCAGGTCCAGGGGAGGGGGTAGGGGGAGGGGTCAAGACTCCCTCCCCGCCCGCAAGCCGTCTCGCTCACTCCCACCCGCCCTCCCAACACATACGTAACACCCGAGGCGGGCCCGAGCCGCAGCATATTCACCCGAGGCGGGCCCGAACCGCAGCATATACAGCAGTCGTCTGTGGATGCCGCGGCCGCCGCCGCCGCCGCCGCCGCCGCCCCTGCTGCCGAATCGCCGCAGCCGCTGCCGCCGCAGCCGCTGCCGCCACCGCTGCCGCCGCTGCCGCCACCGCCGCCGCCGCCGCCTCCGCCGCCGCCACCGCCGCCGCCGCCACCGCCGCAGCCGCCGCAGCCGTTGCCCCCGCCGCAGCCGCCGCCGCCGCCAAGTGTACTCTGTATTGTTTGTTGTCAGGGATGGCGGGGGGAGGCCGCATCGGGTTCGCTGCGCATGCTCCAAATTTGGAGGCAGAGTGTGTTTTGTAATGTTTGTTTACAAGGGATGGGGGGGCCTCATTGGCTCGGGTTGGCTCCCAGTCGCTTGGGGGAGGGGGGTGTATGTAAATAGGGAACAGTGATAAACCCTTCCCCGACATGGGAAGAGGGGTTTGGAAGAGGAAACACCCTAAACCACCAACGCCCTAAAGGGCTGGTAGGATTTAAAAACGAGCGTTCGAAAACGTACAATAACACATGCATTTCCTGCCGGAGGTTTTTCAATATTGCCATCACATTCTGCCAAGAGGGCATCCCGCGCCACATGTCGAACTCATCCGCACGCCCTTGCGCGCGTATGGGGGGCACGATCCGTGTCAAGCAATTCCATCCGTGCCAAACAATTTCGCGCGTCGGTCGCGCGCGCACGCCGAATTCGTTCCAAAGCCTTCATCACCGACGCGAGGGGATCGTCATCGTTACGGGCGTCCGTGATCAACATTTGCGCCGTCATTGGCGTCGACGTCGTCATCGCCACCATCGTCACCATCGTTGCCCTCATTCGCGTGTCTACCATTGTCGGCGTCGCAATGATACCGTGCCCGCCCACGTCACCGACTCGCACTGAAATGCCCACTGGAAGTGCCCAGTGGTCAGCTCCACCGCGGCCGCGTCGGTCGCGCCGCACTAGTTGGTCGCTGCGCACGAGAGCATGCGCGGGCTTGCGCGGCCGCAAAGATGCACCAGCCAACGCCAAGCACTCATCGCAGTCGCCGCCGCATGGTTTTGCAAATCAAGTTGCGGGTGAGTGAGTGGGATGTTTGCAAGAGCGTGGGATGTGTCAACTCGTCTGTAAAAGCCAAGTGCACCATACAGAATGCAATACATTGGTTGCAAAACGTAGATTGCACAACGTGGAAACATATATAGAGCAAGATTGATGACCCAAACCGAGTGCACCGCGTAGGTTGTACCATATATGTATGTATAGACCATATAACTGTATATTCTTACATATATATATATACAGAGATATGACCACATATGGCGCCACATACGTTGCACAACATAGGGAACACCATATGCACCGCGCCGCTTTCACCGCACAAAGTGTGCTCGACGTAGCTCGCACCACGTAGCTCGCATCACGCATATCGCACCACGTATACATTGCACAACCTATAACGTTCTCTATACGTACAGATACTACGACATAAATGGCACCGCAAGGACTGACTGTATTACATAGATCGCAGAAGCGAATTTGGACCACACAGGGTGCACACCATATATTGCTAGACGCGCAGTGTGTTGGTTCCGCGCGGGTTACCATATTCACCCAACATGTATACAACACGGGAGAAAACACAACACAACACGAGAAACAATACAAGAGGGACAGACATCTATACACATATATATATATATATATACATGCAGACATACAGAGGCCTACGCAGAGACGCTGAGAGAGAACGTGGGAGAGAGAGAGAGAGAGAGAGACAGACAGACAATTATCCCAGTGCGACCGTACCTAGGAGTTGGAGCCCCTAGGACAGCAACATAAGCTAAGCTGAACTAAGCTAAAACAGGCTAGGCTAAGCTAAGCTAAGATGAGATAAGCAAAGCTAAGCTACGCTAAGTTAAGCTACGCTAAGTTAGGCCAGGCTAAGCTAAGCTAAGCTAAGTTAAGATGAGATACGCAAAGCTAGGCTAAGCTAAACCAAGCGAAGCTAAACTAAGATGATATAAGCTAAGCTGAGCTAAGCTAAACTAGGCTAGTCTAGGTTAGGCTAAGCTAAGTTAAGCTAAGCTAAGATGAGATAAGCAAAGCTAAGCTAAGCTAGCTAAGCTAAGCTTAGCTAAGCGAAGCTAAGCTAGGCGAAGCTCACCCAGGGGGCGCGGGGGGATCCTGGGGGAATCGCGGGGCGGATGCCGGGGGAACCGCCCGGGGTGTATTCCATTGCCCGCTTTTTTAAGCCACAGAGAAAGAACCTTTTCTAGGCAGAACCTAGGTAGGGGAAAAAAAGAGAAAGAGAGCGAGAGCTAAACACACAAAACATACAAATATAACATATTGCGAGGGACGTGGAGAAACAAACTAATCGAATATATATATATAGAGAGAGAGAGAGAGAGAGCGAGTCCAGGAAGCGTGAGAACGACAAGGGGGTAGAGGGGGCGAGAGAGAGGAACAAAGAGAATAGGAGGGATTTGGGCGGGAAAGGGGGAGGGAGAGGATGACGGGGGGGGGGGGCTCCGGAGGAGGCGTCACCAGGTGCAGAGAGAGCCAGGGACATCCCAAGACCTCGATCCTCTTCCTCCTCGATCCCCGACCCTCTTCCTCGTTTTCCTCCTTCTCCTCCTTCTCCTCCTCCTCCCCGATGCTTGACCCCCTTCCTCCTCCTCTTTGATCCTCTCTCCTCGGCCCTCCTCGATCCTAAGCCCTCCTCGATCCGCCTTCTTTTCGATCCTCGATCCTCCTCCTGCTCCTCCTCCCCCTACTCCTCCGCCTCCTCCTCACCGGCACGAACTCACAACTCGTCAAGGGTCGTGCGCTTTTCCTCCTCCTCCTCCTCCTCCTCCTCCTACTCGATCGTCCTCCTCCTCCCCCATCCTCGATCCTCTCGGCTCCTCCTCGATCCTCGTCCCTCCCTCGATCGTCAATGCACGATTCTCCATCTCGATCCTCAACCCTTCTCCTCGATCCTCGTCCTTGCCCCTCGATCCTCCTCCCCCATCCTCGATCCCCTTCGACCCTCCTCCTCGATCCTCGACCCTCCTCCTCCTCCTCCTCCCCCTCCCCCTCCTCCTCGACCCTCCTCCTCCTCCTCCTCCTCCTCCTCCTTCTCCTCCTCCTCCCCTCCTCCTCCTCCTCCTCCTCCTCCCCCTCCCCTCCTCCTTCCCCTCCTCCTCCTCCTCCTCCTCCCCCTCCTCCTCCTCCTCCTCCTCCTCCCCCTCCTCCCCGACGCGCGAGGGGGCGACCCCGGCGTCGGCCGCCGCGGCGCCCGTCGGTGCGGCCGCCGCGGCCCCGCGGGACGTCGGCAGCGCCGCAGGCCGCCGCCGCCGCCGTTTTCTTCGTCGTCGTCGTCGTCGTCGTCGTCGTCGTCGCCGCCGCCGCCGCCGCCGCCGCCGCCGCCGTCGTTTTCGTCGTCGCCGTCGTCGTCGTCGTCGACGTCTGTTTCGTCATCGACGGTGTTGACACGTCGTCGTCATCGTCGTCGTCGTCCGTCGTTGTCGTCGTCCGTCGTCGTGGTCGTCGTCGTCGTCCACGTCGGTGTCGTCATCGACGATGGTGAAGCTAAGACCTTTCGCCTCCCTGCCTCCCTCCCAGGGTTTGAGCTAAACGGTGTTTTGGCGATTTCGTGGGCCGTGTTATGTTTGTTGTCGTCTTGCAGCAACGGCGGAACGAAGACAGAGCGAGAAAAAACTACAACACATCGAAAATGGACAACAATACTGTTTAGATCGAGCCCTGCTCCTTCTTGCACGAGCGGCTAACGTGTGAAAATCCACGCCGTCGCGGTCTGGATTCAGGGGCGCGATCCCGTGCATGACGTTAGAAGCAGTTATTTCATCTCCTGGTGATGATGATGATGATGATGATGATGATGATGATGATGATGATGATGATGATGATGATGATGATGATGTGATGGTGATGATGATGATGATGGTGATGGTGATGGTGATGGTGATGGTGAGGTGATGGTGACGATGACGATGACGATGACGATGACGATGACGATGACGATGCGATGACGATGACGATGACGATGACGATGACGATGACGATGACGATGACGATGACGATGACGATGACGATGATGATGATGATGATGATGATGATGATGATGATGATGATGATGATGATGATGATGTCTTCGTCGTGAGCGCCAGGCCTGGGCCTCTGGCGTGAGCGCCAGGCCTGGGCCGGACGTGACCCGGGTGGGGAGAAGGGCGGGGAAGGGGTGGTGGTCACGTCACGGTTCGCGCAGGCGCCGTCATGAGAGTGGCCAATTCCGAGCCCGCGCCGGCGCCAATCGTGACGTGACCAGAGGGGTGGGATGGGGCAGGTCACGGGCGTAATTCGGGTTGTCCCAGAAGGGGGTCCAGTGACAAGGGGAAGGTGCAGTAGAATCGGTGCGATAGATTTGTGGGGATGCAATACGTTTGGGGCGTTCAGTAAACTGGGGCGCAAAGGCATTGCTGGATTGTCGCGTGCAATACACTACTTCAATACAATGCAATACAATTCTCCGGCGCAGTACATTTGCAGGACAAGTCCCCCAAATCTATTGCACCACCCCCTTGCAGCTGGACCTTTTTGGGTCACCCAAAGTGATCGCGAATGATGAATTCTTTACGCTTCGCGTAATTATCCCCACCAGCCCATCTCACAGCAGCAGCTCTCGCGAAGCATATCGACAGTTGTGTTTTTCAGGCGTGTGTCCGCTGGGCTCCGTATATCTCCCCTGTCCCTCCTTCCTCCCGCCTCCTTGTGAATCCTCCTTGTGGGGGGAGCGGGAGAAGGACGAGGCGGAGGAGGAGGGAGAGAAAGCGCTCCTCGTGATTTGAGTCGTTTGGGGTTTCTCGTCCTGGTGTGAGTCGTTCGGGCCCTTCTTCCTGGTGTGAGTCGTTCGGGCTCTTCGTGGTGTGAGTCGTTCGGGCTCTTCGTCCTGGTGTGAGTCGTTCGGGCTTCTCGTGGTGTGAGTTGTTCGGGCCCCTCATCCTGGTGTGAGTCGTTCGGGCCCCTCCTCCTGGTGTGACTCGTTCGGGCTCCTCGTGGTGTGAGTCGTTCGGGGCGCGCGTCGTGGTGTGAGTCGTTCGGGCTCCTCGTGGTGTGAGTCGTTCGGGCGCCTCGTCCTGGTGTGAGTCGTTCGGGCCCCTCCTTGTGGTGTGAGTCGTTCGGGCTCTTCGTGGTGTGAGTCGTTCGGGCCCCTCGTCCTGGTGTGAGTCGTTCGGGCTCCTCGTGGGGCCTCTTGGGGGCCTCTTGGAGCCTCTTGGGGGCCTTTTGGGGGCCTCTTGGGGGCCTCTTGGGGGCCTCTTGGGGGCCTCGTGGGGCCCTTGGGGGCGTCTTGGGGGCCTCTTGGGGGCCTCGTGGGGCCTCTTGGGGGCCTATTGGGGGCCTCTTGGAGGCCTCTTGGGAGCCTCCTGGGGGCCTCTTGGGGGCATCTTGGGGCCTCTTGGGGGCCTCGTGCGACCTCCTCAGAAGCGCAAATGAGCGCTACCCCCTGAGAAGGACAAAATGAGCCCAAAACCATCGTAAAATAATGATTTTGCTAGGAAGGAAGATGAGCGCGGCCCCCTCGGGAGGCCAAAATGGGGCCAAAACCCTCGTAAAAGCAATGATTTTGGCTGCACAGAAGAGGAGGGGGCTACAAGAGCGCCCCCCCGTCGGGGCCAGAATCCTCGTGAGGGTCGTCGTTTTTTGGCCCTCCCAGGCGTCGAAAAAGACCCCCCTGACCACCCGCGGGACTCCCTGTCCAGGCCCAGGGGGAGGGGGTAGGGGGAGGGGTAAACCCCTCCCCGAAGGGGAAGAAGGGGGGTTGGGGGGTTGAGGACAGAGAGGGGCTCTCTAAACCACTCACGCCCAAAGGGCTGGTGGGATTATCCTGGCGAAGGACCCAACCATACGCAAACGTGAGAACCGCAGGGCAGGTGGGACGAAGCACGGGGAATTCCCAATGGGGCCGCGAAGCTTGTGAGGGGTGCGCCAAAATGGAGCGGGGCCGCCATGCGAACCCTGCCACTGGGGCCTTCGGTGGAGCCCCCTATGGGGCCACGAACCGTGTGAGGGGTGCGCCAACATGGGGCGGGGCCGCCATGCGAACCCTGCCACTGGAGCCTTCGGTGGAGCTCCCTATGGGGCCGCGAACCGTGTGAGGGGTGCACCACAATGGAACTGGGCCGCCGTGTGAACCCTGCCACTGGGGCTTTCGGAGGTGCTCCCTGTGGGGCCACGAACCTTGTGAGGGGTGCGCAAAAATGGGGGGCCGCCATGCGAACCCTCCCACTAGGGCCTTCGGTGGAGCTCCCTGTGAGGCCATGAACCGTGTGAGGGGTGCGCAATCATGGGGCTGGGACGCCATGCGAACCCTGCCACCGGGGCCTTCGGTGGAGCCCCATGGGGCCACGAAGCGATGTACTGGGTGGGTGAAACGCAGGGAGGAAGGAGGAGGGGGAGGAGGGAGGAGGGGGAGGGGGAGGGAGGAGGGAGGAGAACGCGGAGACCGTCTCTTCAAAACGAGGACCCAACACCACAGGATGTTTGGGAACACGCATGTTCCTTCGTGGTCATGTGGATACGTCCCGCGCGGAGTATCCGCGAAAGGAACGCCCTCTATACACGGGTCGCGGCCCGGGGGCCTGGCCCGCGAGGCCGTGGGTACGGATGTGCGCTTTTGCCCACGACTGCTTTCCCCGCCCTTTGTTTCGCCAGGCTTTCTTGTGGCTTTCTTGTGGTTTTGCGGCGCTCCTGCTCGCAACGCACACCGACAGAGGCGGCGGAGAGCTTGAGAGATCCGCCTACCAAAAGTGCGTTTCTGCCCACGACTGCCTTCCCCGCCCTTCTTCCTCCTTCTCGTCTTCCTTTCTCAGAGGAGACAGCCCTGGATACAGATGTATCTCGAGCTGGCCGCGAGATGTAGAGCGCGCGCGTGTGCGCGTCCGACCGGTATGATCTGATATGGCTCGGCAGCGAGGCCGTGGGCGAACACTCGCCAACGTCGTCGTCGCTGCCGCCACCGCCACCGTCGTCGTCGTCGTCGTCGTCGTCGTCATGTCACTGTCGTCCCCTGGGCCTGAAAATGGGCCCCTGGGCCCGTCCCGGAGGCTGTTCTGGGCAGAACTTCGAAGCGCATCCGGCCGTGGCCACGACTCGCGCCCCAGATGCCCCAAAAGGGCGCGGCGCACACGCCCTCGATCCTCGAACCCCGTCGCCACCGCCGCAGTCCTCGTCGCCGCCTACTGGGGAGGGGGGGGGAGGAGGCGAGGAGGGGAAGAGGGGATGGGGGGAGGAGGAGGAGGAGGAGGAGGAGGAGGAGGAGGAGGAGGAGGAGGAGGAGGAGGGGGGGAGGAGGAGGAGGAGGAGGAGGAGGAGAGGACGGAGGAGGAGGAGGAGGAGGAGGAGGAGGAGGAGGAGGAGGAGGAGGAGGAGTCGCCGCCCGCGTCGTTGCCGCCGCCGCGACCGTCGTCGCCGCCGCCGCGGTCGCCGCCGCCGCCCGCGCCGGCCCGCCCGGCAGGCAGCGTGGCCCGCGAGCTGAGCAGCTCGGGGGACGACGCCGCCGAGGACGCGTCTGTCTGCGACGTCGGGGAAGGGGGGGCCCAGGAGGAGGAGGAGGAGGAGGAGGAGGAGGAGGAGGAGGAGGAGGAGGAGGAGGAGGAGGAGGAGGAGGAGAGGAGGGAGGGGGGAGGAGGAGGAGGAGGAGGAGAGGGAGGAGGAGGAGGAGGAGGAGGAGGTGGAGGAGGAGGGGGGGGGGAGAGGCCCCTGCAGCACTGCGGGGGGATTGTGCGAGAGGGTCGTCGCCGTCGCTCGCCGTCGCTGCCGCCGTCGTCGTGGCGCGCGAATCCAGGGCCCTGTTCGATCCGAGCTGATGTCGGCGGGGGCCGGACCGACCCGATTCGGTTGCCCGATGTCCGGGCGGTCCGAGTTGGCCGGAGGCTTGCCTGCATGGTGCCGTTGTGCATCGTGGCGCCGCCGGTGCGCTTCGCTTCCGACTCCGCACCGGTGCGGTCCGATCCGATACACGTTCCGATGCGGTCAGATTCCCCGATGCAATATTGTTACCAGCCTCGAACGTATCCCTATCCCTAAGATTGACACGCCAAAAGGCGATGATCATCTTAGGGACTCGCCCTCAAAAATAAGGGAATCACTAAGATTGGCATCGTGATGAGGAGGTGCCCAGCATAGGGATAGGGATATGTTCCAGGCTGGTAATGCTGACTGTTCCTGCGGATCGGGGGCTCATGGAGGTGGGGTCGGGGATCGAGCCCGGGCGGATGCTCTCGGTTCCTTCTTGCAGGGGCCGCTTGGGGCGATTTTTGCCACCAGCCCCTCCTCCGGCCCTGCCCTTCCTTCACGTCACCCCCCGATTCTGGATAAAGCAGCATTGGGGCGACGCTGTGGCCAGTGGGGCAGCGCTCACGGTGTGTCAGCGTGGCGAGCAGCCGTGGCGGCGTCGGTCTGCGACATCGGGGAGGTTGGAGCCCTCCTTCATCGCAGGGGCGCTGGGGAGGCGGCAGAGCTCACCGCGCTTGCGCGGCCCCTTGTGAGAGGCAGCGTTGGGGCAACGCAGTGGCCAGCGTCGGGCGGGGGGGCATGCGTAGGCTCAGGGGGGGCATTGCAATATTTCGTAGTTTTCGGATGTTTTCGTCAGCTCTCGACGGTTTTCCACCCGTTCGATCTCTCGTGATTTTCTGACGTTCTTGTCGGTTGTCGATGGTTTTCCAGCCTAGGGGTGCTCTCGAACGGCCCTTGGAGACAGACAGATCGTAGATCAATCGGCGACGACGCATCGCCGATTCCAGCACGACGTTTCTCCGCTGAGCCGATCCCCCCCTGACGTTCCCCCTCACAGGAGGGCCCTCAGTGGAGCCACCTGGCAGGCGGGTGGCAGGGGCGATGATGCGCGTGCTTGCGTGGGTCTCGAGGAGGTTGGAGTTCTCTCGCGCGGCGCGCAGCTCGTGGCTGGTGGAGTACAGTCGGGGCCCTGAAGAAGGAACCCTTTTCGTTGGGGAGGGGCTCTGGCGTCCGTAAGTGTTTCACAGCTTGCCTCAGGTTTTCCTATGTTCTCGATAGGAAATCGAAGTTGAACTTATGGAAAAATGGGGCCTCGTTCCTTATTTAGGGTTCCTTAGGTCAACGCCCCGACTGTAGTTAATTGGTTGCGCTCGTTGTGCGCATGTCCTCAACACCTGACCGTGACAGACAGCTCTGACTCGCTGCCCGCTCGCCCGCTACATGGGAAGATGAGATCCAGTGCGTTCCACCGCACTCTGCGCGTGGCGCCTGCCATTGCGCAGCTGGTGCCTGCCCCATAGGAGCCACTGCCATGCCCCCGGAGTTATCATCGGTTACTTCGGCGTGCCAACTATCGGGTGCCTGTCGATCGACGGAGCGGATCACCATTGTTCGGGGGACGTCGACTGACTGACCACCTCGGCTCATTATTTTTCGGGGGGGGTCGACCGACCACCTTACCGATCCCTGGGCCCAGGATGGGTGTATACGCCCTCCTGGCTTGGCCGGGGAGGCGTACACACGTCACCAGCATTGGCACACGCTGGGCCCGGCCAGGACCAGTGAGGTTGGTCAGTTGGCGCCCCTCGATGTCCTGCCACAGGCCCGCTCGATGTCGAGACAGTGCTCTGCTGCTCGTGCGCCATGACAGGGGGGCAGAGCGCGCCATGGCACGCGCGCCGTCTCGGCTGGAGAGGGGTGCAGAGGTCGGCGGGGGCGGCCTTCTCCTGCCCGTGCTGCCGGACGAGAACACTTGGCGCCGGGGGGGGGGGAGGGAGCTTGATGTTGAGGTCGCTCGGGTCATGTACTTTTCCAGTTCTCAAGGTGGCCGTCTCTGGCGTTTCTGTGTTGGGCTCCGTCTTTGGGGCCGCGTTGGGATTCTCGTTCGCGCCGTGTTCGGTTCGGTTCCGTGTTATAGATTGCAGTTTGCTTTTCTGCTTTGGAATGCAGCCGTTTTTCCCCGTTGTGGTTTGTCGAACCTCGAAATATCGAAAAAGAAATGGAAACGCCCCCCCTCCCCAGCGTTTTTGATATCAACAAGGTAAGGCTGTGCAACGGGAAGGGGGAATCCACCGATCGGTGAAGGGAGAGAAGGAGGAGGGGCGAGGGGTAAGGAAACAGTCGCAGCAGGTCTTTAACGAAGACAACAATGTCCTAACCGAGGTCCCCATGATCTGCCACCGAACGCCGTTTCAAATTGGGGTATCTCGGATCGGCGCAGTCGTACTTTTGACGACGGCCCCCCGATGAACTCAACAAAAAAGCAACAGCAAACAATGGATTCCAGCCGCGCTCGGCAGTATGGGCATGCACATTTAAAGCTGCAGTGGGAAAGTGGCACCAGTCGGAATAGTTGCAGCCTGAGGGGGAGGCGGAGTAGGGAAACCGTTTGGTGCCGTTGGGGAGGACGGGGATAAGTTGAGGCAGCGGGAGGGAGAGGAAGCGAGAGAGATGGAGATCGAGGCAGAGTGCATCGACGCGGCCCTCCCCCTTCCTCCACCACCTCCCTTGCTGCTCCCCCCCCCTCCTACCTGATACGCCTTCCTCCCTTCCCTCCAAAAATCCTCCCTTCTTCCTCCCATCCAATCCTCCTCCCTCCAATCCTCCTCCCTTCCCTCCCTTCCCTCCAATCCTCCCCCCTCTCCTCCCTTCTTTCCTCCCACCTGAGATCCCCCCCCCCGCAGGGGGGGGGGGCGCAGCAGGGTGTTCAAGGATGCGTTTGGCATGGGCCTGGCATCGCTCGAACGTGTGCATTTTTTCTCGGCGGGGGCCATCGAGGAGCATCCTTATCATCTGGCGAAAAAGCCACGCACGAAACCAACAAAAAAAACAGGAAATAAATGGACGTCCGAGCGATGGCCAGTGGGGGGATGGTAGCCCACTGGCGCTCGCACTCAAAAACGCACCCAGGCCTTCGGACCGCTGGTCTTGCGCCGCGGGCAGCACGGGGGGCGCCGGCGAACTTGTCCGGCCGAGCCCCGCCACGGCTCGGACGCTGGAGGCAGGGTCGGGGACCTCGCCCGCTTGCGCCAGCATCCAACATCGTCTAAAACGACGCGAAGATCGGGACAAAATCGGATCGGGATAATTCGAAATTTCTGAGAATCGGCAGGTTTGGAGGATGTATTGGGCGCCGCGGCCGCTCCAGAGCGTTCCGGAACGCTCTGAGAGCGCTCCGGAACGCTCTGGAGCGATTTATCCCGATCCTAGCCTTGTTTTAGGGTCGGGGACCTCGCCCGCTTCTGCCAGAACCCAGCATCGTCAGGCCTGCCCCCATCCCGGCTGGGAAGGCCCCGCTGTCCGCCGCGGTCGGGAGTTCTCGGCTATCGCGCGCCGCTCCGCCGGCTCTGGGCCGCCACGCCTCGGCGCGGCACGCTGTCCACTGCGGGCCCCCGAGCGTCAAAAGTCCCGAGCTTGCACGAGCCTCCCGTGACGAGGAGGAGGAGGAGGAGGAGGAGGAGGAGGAGGAGGAGGAGGAGGAGAGGAGGACAGGGAGGAGGAGGAGGAAGAGGAGGAGGAGGAGGAGGAGGAGGAGGAGGAGGGGGAGGGGGGAGGAGTGAAGGCCCGCCTGCAGGGCGCGGCGTGCCGCAGGCGCGCCGCGCCGCGGCGACGCGCTGCTCAGGAGAGTTCCCGACCGTCTGCGGTCTCCTCTGGGCATCGCGGCACCTGCCCTGGGGTGTACACGCCGGTCGTTGAAATTAGGTGTTTTTGGATTCCCACATTCGGCACGCACGGAATGGGTACTGAAAGAATGGGTACCATGCCCAACAGCGGATCTTGTTCATTTTGAACAGGGCTCGCTGTCCGCGCCGCCGCGGCCTGTGTCCATTCGAGACAGAAGGACGCCTGCCCCACAGCGGCCGCTGTTGGTTTGGGACAACACTTGCTGTTGGGCATTGTACCCATTCTTTCGGTACCAATTTTGGGTGTCCAAACACATCCCAATCTATTTCAAGCGCCTTCCTACTTGAAGAATCGGCATGATTTTGCTGCGTTTTGCTGTTCTCTGGGAGGGCCTGGACCCAATCCACTTTGTCCGCCTTCCTACTTCATGTTTTTACCTACTTCCTCCGACCGGGGTGTACGCTGGCTGGCGGCACCAACGTGCCGTCGCCCGGCGGGGGCGGGGATTCAGATCTCGGTGCTGAGATCTGGAGCCTTTGGGGCCCAGGCAGACTCGGGAGGGGAGAAAAAACACACAGACACAAGGAATCATCGATGCACAAGAGAATGTAGGAGAATATGAGAATTGGTGGGGAAGTCAAAAAACCCAGAAAATTGGAGAACATATGGAGAATCCTGTTATTTGTGTCTATTAGTTTGTGTGTGTCCCAGGGCCCCTTCACAGACTCAGGACCGAAATATGTTGCTCCAGTGCGTTCCGCAACGCTCTCGGGGCTCTCCGGAACGCTCTGAGACGGAGCAGGCGCCGTATACGGCCCCCACAACCGACGGATCACAGCGAGCCCCGAGTTCTCCTGATCCGATGTCCCGCTCTCACGGAGAGGGGCCTGACCGCCCTCGTGTCCCCCGCCACTCACCGGCCCGTGAGTGCCGCCGACGTCGCGCGGTGGCATGCCCCCGCGCACGCACGCACGCAGCAGCACGCAGTGTTCGTGCCGTGCCGACGCGGCGGCGACCCCGGCGCGGGCGTGCGAGGTTTCAGTCGGTAGCCGATCACGTGAGGTTTCGTAATACTAAAGCTCACGTGAGTTGCTACCGAGTGAAGCCTCGCAATACGAGCCAGGACGCTTCGCCACTGCTCGACCCGTCGGTGGTCATGCATCAATTCCCGCCTCGGACCCCCCACCCCCGGCCGGGGAGGCCCACGGCCTGCGCCGCCCGAGGCGCCGCGGCGGTCCGCGGTGCCCCCGTAGATACTCCAAACCCCTTATCAATCGACCCCGCCCTGGAAAACCGGACCCCCCTCCACATGCGACCTGATGTTCCGGACCCCCTTCTTCGACGGGGCGCCTTCATAAACGGCACCGCGTAAGCTCCAATCCAAGGAAAGCGCCCCGATAAACCGAACCCCCCCAGTTACAAAAAAGGCGCCTGAAAAACCGGACCTGGGGACGATTAATAAGGGATTTAGAGTGAGTGCCTTCGCAATTCCGTCTTTAGAGTGTACTAGCGTCGATGAGCGTCGGGCAATTTATGAGATAACGCCGATGAAGCGTCGATATAGCGTGGATTCGTGCCGACCAGCGTCGATTAGCGTCGATTCGCAAGAGCGGACAGGATGGTTTTGGAGGCTCCCATGAGTTGCCGCAGAGGCTTCATGATGTACAAGCCACCCCGACCTAACCCCAAGACCCCAGACCCCCAAATTCCAGTGTCCGGAATGGCACCCCACTTGAAATTGACAGGCCTAACGGCGATTTCGGGCCCAGCGGTTGTACAGTCGGAGCGAGGTAAAAGATCGAGGTCGGTTCGGGGAGGGTACCTCAATGTTACTCGTGTCTGTCGGATGTTTTTCTGCACTCTGGGTGAGGGCACCCTTGGATGTTCTGTTTGTCTTGGGCGACGAAGGGTCTCGTGTTTTTGAGGGATGTCCTCCTGGCCTAGGGTCGACTGTAACGGCGATGCAGGTTTGGGTATCGTAAGTGGGAGCGATTCGTGGCCAACCCAAATTTTAGCAAAGCGTTGTTCGCGTTTGCCTGCAGGTTTGTTCTGCGCGAGTTCGGCGTCGCAGAAACCAGATTCCCGACATCGCCGTTCACCAACATTGCCGTCAGCGTGGCCTTGGTAATTATGTGGCTCCTGCTCTTGCTGCTGCTGCTGCTCCTCCTCCTCCTTCTCCGTGTCACGCCCTTGGCAGAACAGCGCACGTGGCAAGAGCCGAAGCCCAAGCCAGGAGGGCTGCCAGAGGCCCGGAGCAGGGTCTGGCTGATGGGAGCCTTTTGCCCTGGGGGGCACCTTGCCGGTGGCCCCAGGCAGGGCTCGTCGCTCCTGCCTGTGAACACAAAGAGATCTCGTCGGGCAGGCGCCCCCTCCTTTCGGGTGGTCCTCTCTCCCCTCCTCGGGCCGCCCCTCCATGGGTGGTGAACCTCTCCGTGTCCTCTGTCCCCCCTTCCGGCCCCCCACTGTGGCAACTCCAGGGAGGTGAACTTCAGCCTTGGCAGCGGCGTACCCCGCAGTCGAAGACCGCCCCGCCTCGCCCGAATCCCACATCCGGCTTGCTCCTGCCCAGTGGCCGGTTGACTCGTGTGCTCCGCGTGGTTCCGTCTGGCTTCCTGGCCTTTTGGCGGGCGGACCAGCTTGTTTCCTCACAGGAGTTGCTTCCCACCCCTGCCCCTCCTCCCTCTGCCCCCTCCCGTCCTCCTCTCTACCCCCTGCCCTTTCCGCCAGAGCCCCCTGGCAGACATCGCGCGCAGCCGCCGCCCGGGGGGCAGGAACAAGCCCGCCAGGGCCATGCTCTACTTCGTGGGGCTCTCCTGGCGCTCCGCCCGCCCGCACGGTTCTCCTCGTCATCCCCCCTCTCGCCCTGCGTCTCCTCATCAACCTCGTCCCTGCCCCGCCTCCCTCCCATCTTCTTCCTCACGCCTCCCTCCCCCCAATCCTCTTCCTCCGCCTCGCATTCATCCTCTTCCTCTTTCTACCCCACCCATGACGTCTGTCTGGCGAGAGAGGCGCACCCCCAGCGAAGGCGGAGGAGGAGAAAGGTTTGAGAACGCAGGCCAGCATACCAGCGCCACCTTCGCCGCAAATGTGACTACGACCCCCAGAAAGACTCAACCGCCTGACGACAGAGTTACATATCGAAGACGCCTACCACCGCCGCCCCCTGCCTTTGGAAGCGCCCATGTGACCGAGCGATGTGGCAAGACCTCTGCCAAGCAATCGGACTATATGTTCCCCCAGCCGTTGTGGAGACCCTTCGGGGAACACTTGGGAGGAGCCTCTGGGGGCACTATTGGGGCCTCCTGGTGGCTTCTCGGGAGCCTCTTGGAGGCATATTGGGGGCCTTCTTGGGCCTCTTGAGCCAGGCCAGGGCCAACAGAGTCGTATCGCCCCAGAGTGGATTTGCTGGCGATCTCATCTTTTCTTGATCGCCAGGCTAGCGCAGGAGAAAGCGTAACTCCCCAGAGCTCCATTCCTGGCGATCTCATCGTCAATGCGCGCTCCAGCCAGGTCAGGATCGATCGAGATGAATCCACCGTCGGGTTGTCAAGGTCAGGCTGTGGCAGTCCAGCAGCTTCCGCAGTGGCTTATACTTGTCGGGCTTAGATGCCCTGGCAGAGCAGTCAAGCTGTAGCCGCCGCGGCCCATTTAAGTTCGGCCCCGTCCAGCGTAGCCCAGTTAAGTCTACTTGTTGCACCGAGCTCTGTTACCTGATATATGATACTCGCGGCGATATTGATCGACGAGATACTTGAGGTCATGTTTAAAGCCATACGCCCAAATATTTGCCAGGCGTGAGCCCCATATCCAACACACGACGCAGAAGGATCCCACGAATCAGACTTACCGGAAAGCCGTAAATGGAACAAATAGCGCAAACGTAATTCATAATTTAGGAATTTCGCCCATCAATGGCCGCGAATTCCCGGCCGTGCAGGATCGGCGGTTACCCTCGGAAACTTAAAATTTGAGCGCGACCGCCAGAATCATTTTGATTTCAACGGTTTCGCAGCTTTGGCGAGCGAGCATGGCGTGCACATCGTTGGGGGTAGCACGTTTGAGCCGTTTCAGTTCTATCTATCACCTCGGTCGTCGTCTGGCCTTATGGACTGGCAGCTGGTGTTTGCAAGAACCGGGAAATGTACGATTACACCGCGCAGTTAGAAGTAGACCGACCATTTGTGTTCACAGCGCCAGGGCTTGGCAAGGCTGATGCACTCACCTGTCTCGATGCACAACGACGACGGCTGTGCACAACTTCGAATTCGGAGCAAGGTGCGTGCTCGATCCTCAAGATCTCCGATCCGGGCGGCGACAGTGTCTCGCACGGGCGCAGTATCTGGCTGGTTGCTGTTGACCAGATGGCCGAGAACTTCACCCATGTCTGCTGTCAGCGCGGCATCACCTAGGTTTGCTGTGACTGGCCAGCCCGCAGAGCGGTATGTGGGAAGCCTAGGAGACACCAATACCTCTATCGGCGGTGTGCCTCCGCTGGGGGCAAATGATCCTGATCTCGGTAATGGTGGCAACCTTCGGATGTTTCGAGTGGACGAACTGTTTTCACCCGCGCCATCTCCCGCGGTGCAAGCAAGCCCATGCCTTGGTGGTGGTACCCATTTCCAAGCCTCCAGGCATGGGATCGGCACGTGCCGTTGGGCCAGAGATTGCGCACAGAGCTTGCGGCCGGCTCAGGGGGCGGAGGCGCTGCCGGTGTGCCGGTTGCCTCCCCCACCTGCCGGCGGCCACGCGCCTCTCCTCGTGGCCGTGCCTGCTGGCTCCTGCGAGAGGATTGACCCGAAGCAGAGCTGCGGGCCGCGATGCACGATTGCCGGTGCCGTTCTGGGAGACCACGTGGTTTCGGGGGAGCGTAAGACCCGGGTTTGCCAGGACTCGGGTTCGCCACCGTTTTTTGACGACCGCGACTCGGATTTTGACGAGGAGGAGTTTCGTCGGATGTCTGCAGCGGGAGGCCTCGTCAAAATGCAGGCTCGGCCTCGTCATTTTTTTGACGACCTCGTCGGGGATTTCCGAGTCCCCTGTACCCAGGTCTTACGCCCCCTGGTGGTTGTCATGCGGGTTTTTCTGCTCGCGTCAGTGTCGGTAGCGGATCGCGGGAGCCTCGTATGCCCTCGCAATTCCGCTTGAAGCCTGGGGTGCTGGCCCTGTGGTATCATCATGCAGCCACGGCTCGGGGCAGATCTCTGACGGATGGGCACGCGGGCGGCGTCGCTATCCGCCCCAAGGGGGCCCTCGGAGCTCGTCCTGGAGGGCCTTCGCGGCGTCGGTTCGCATGTGGTGAGCAATGGAATATTGCTCGGATTTCGCGTCGCCTAGCGTTGATTTCGCGTCGAGTCGCGTCGATCCAACAAGATGGTATGGGAGGCTCCCATGAGTTGCCATCGAACCGAACCGCCAACAGGCCGGCACGGCGGGTGGCAGCGCAGGACCCGATCGGATGCATGTGAAGTTGGCGGATGAGAGGGTTGTTTTTGGAGGTGTGTTCTTCGGTGTCTGCTTGCAGCGTCGGCGAGCTAGGAACTTCAGAGGTCCAAAGGATTATGGACGAAATTGAGTTGGCTGGTGGTAGTTACGGATGAGACCTCTCTTGGCGTGGACGATCGAAAGCACAGCCGGTGGCTGGACTGTTTCTGCTAGATTTGTGTGATCCAGGCGAGTTGACGATTTAGAAATGGGGTCAGATGGCCATCTTCGTCTACCCTTGCCCATGCCATCTGGACAGCGCTTCTACTGTCTCGCCGTGCATCAGCAAAGCAGCCTCATCGCCACGGCATCGCGAAATGGAGACCTGCTGCAGAACAATGTTTCGGTATGGATCTTCGCCCACATCTGAACCCTGGCGCCGCTGCCAGCATCCTTGGACCTGTGAGAGTCGGGGGGCGGCCAATACGGGGGGGATGACTAGGGGGGGATCATGGCCAGGGCCATGATGCCTCCCCAGAGTTCATGGGGGCCTCTTATCACCACCCACCAAACCACCCCAACCCAACCCGAAGGCTTAGATTTACCCTCGATTTCTAGTAGGGGGGGGTCGGGAAACATCGAGAAAACACGCGTGGAATCCGTACCCCCCCCCAACCCGAAATTCGGGTCTTCGGGTTGGGTTGGGGTGGTTTGGTAGGTAGGCCTCTTATCCTTTCAGTGCGTGCCTGGGCCCCCCCCCCTTGGGCCGCGCACGTGCTTCCCCTCTCGGGCGACCCCCTCTCGGACGCCCCGCAGAGAGCGCCCACGGCTCGTCGCCCCGAGGCCGCCCGCGGACCCGCCGAGAGCCCCCGCGGGGCGAGGCGGGAGGCCGTCGGCCGCTGCGGCGGCAGGAAGCCCGACTCGGGCTACGCCCTCTGCCTTGGCATCGCTCGGACGTGCGGAAATTTCCCTTCGGCGAGGACAATCGAGGAGCATCCTGGATCACTTGGCGAAAAAACCACGCACGAAACCGAACAAAAACACAGGAAATGGACGTCCGAGCGATGGCCAGCTGCAGAGGGGTTCAGTCGGGGCGCTGAAGAAGGAACCCTTTTCGTTGGGGAGGGGCTCCGAGTTCCTTAATTGTTTCACAGCTTGCCTCAGGGTTTCCTTCTGTTTTCGATGGGAAGTCGAAGTTTAACTTATGGAGAAAAAGGGGCCTCGTTCCTTATGTAGGGTTCCTTCGGTCAACGCCCCGACTGTACGCCCTCTGCAGCCCTACCAACGGCGGAGTCACCGCCAGCACGGTGCACAGTCCCGTGCGGGTTGGTGGGGGGGGGGAGGGTTCGTGGCCCGCGGCGGCGCGGGACGCGCGGCGCCGAGCAGCAATCAGGAGGGGAAAAAACACAGACACAATTAATCGTCGATCCCCAGGAAAATGTGGGAAACTATGGGAAGTGGGGGGGAAGACAAAAACCCAGAAAATACGGGAAAGTATGGGGATTTTTTTTATATGTGTATTTATTTGTGTGTCCTGGGGCCCCTTCAAGGAAGCCCGACTTGGGCTACGCCCTCTGCAGCCCTCCCAACGGCGGAGTCACCGCCAGCACGGTGCTCAGTCCCGTGCGGGTTGGTTGGGGGGGGGAGGGCTCGCGGCCCGCGGCGGCGCGGGGCGCGCGGCGCCGAGCAGCAAGCCGCCAGGACGCGCTAGAGCCACTTGCGCAGTGATGCTGGTGTAAGTCGGGCCTGTCCCTCCACAGGAGTAATATTCAAAAACAGCCCCCAAAAACAGTATGGGGACGATGTTTTGACTATTTTTGAATATGTTCTGCGTATTTGTTATTTTTTTGGCAGATCCACCGGACCCCCCCTGGCACTTCCTCGCCTCAGGTGCTTCATCGGCGTGTCCATCGTGGCGGACATTTTCATGTCTGCGATCGAGGCCATCACCGAAAAGCGCAAGACCGTCATCGAGCTGTCCAACGGGAGGAGATCTGCGAGCGCGGGAGGGGGGGCGCTGCGGGAGAAGGGGGGGGGGGGGGGCCCGAGCGAGCGCCAGATGGAGGGCTCTGGGCACCTGCAGCGAGGCTCTGGGGCGCCGATGGTGGGAGGACGGGCCCAGGGGGATGCGACGTACCTGAAGACGGGACGGGGTGGGCACGAGCGGGCATCACAGCCGGCTCAAAATCAAAAGAGGCATCATGGCCTCATCAATCCAGATTGATCCACTCACGGATCCACTGCAATTGATTTTCATTGAATTTTATTCCATGCGTAGCATGCTCTCCCCAACCACGGCCGGGGTGCCCCCGGGTGTGTGCGTTGTTGCTTTTCCCGGCAGGTCGCCGACCGATCGACCCCCCCCTCCAGCAGCCGGTGACGAACACAGACGGGGCAGCCGACGGAGGAGGACAGCGAGGGCGGCCCGGACTGCAAGGGGGGAGGACGGGGAGAAGACGAAGGAGGAGGAGGACCACGACAAGGGCGAGGGGGAGGACCAGGAGGACAGGCAGGGGCAGGGGATGGTGCTTGCCACAAGCTAGTGGGAACTGTGGAGCGGGGAGAACACTCGGATCCGCGAGGGGGGAGACCCAGCAGGTCTCCGAGCCGGCAGAGAGCGCTGCCATAGCTCCGCGGCCCCCGTTGTGGGGTAAGTACGCGCTCGGCGCCCTGCGCGGTGCGCACTCTCCCGAGAAGAGAGCGCGACCGAGCTCCTGATGTTGAGTCGTGCGTGTCCCTGTACAGGAATAGTGCATGAACGGTGTATTGAGTATTTGGGGGGCACTTCTGGAGTATTTGCAGGGTATCTTTTATTTGTCGTCCAACATCCGCCTGTAGGGGGACATGCCCGACCTCATCCTGACGCCGAGATCGAGTTCTCTCAGGATGAATCCAGACTACCTGAAGGGCGCCGTGGGCAGCCGCTGATCCGGTGCGACTTCCACGCTCCCCAGAGCGTGGACCTGGCGATCATAAGCGACAAGCGCATCACGGCTTCGATGCTGACGAAGGTGCATCTCTGCAGCAAGGGCGCCCGTGTGCTGACTCGCCCTCACCTGAGTCTTCCCGGGAACAGGCTCGCGGAGATGTTCGCGCCAAAGTCGGTGGCGGAGAAAATGGATGATCTGACGAGGACGGACACTCAGTGCGCCCCGGACGGCACGGCCATCGGTGACGTGAGGGCGTCGGTCATGAAATCCTCCGCCGCGGTGCCCCCGAGGCGCGGGGCCAGGCCAAGGAGGAGGAGGAGGAGGAGGAGGAGGAGGAGGAGGAGGAGGAGGAGGAGGAGGAGCTCGTCGTGGCGGAGGAGGAGGTCGAGAACGAGGTGGAGGAGGTAGTCGAGGACGTGGAGGCGGTCATGGAGGTCTGCGGCGACGACGTCGACAAGGTGGTGGATGATGTCGTGGAGGAGGGCTCCGACAACGTCGAGGAAGTGGAGGGCTTCGCGGCGGCGGCGGCAAGCCCGGACGGGCTCGAGGGCGTGCACGAGGACGCCGACGGCAACGTGAGTGAAGCACATGCCTGAGGGCCACGGGAAGGACGGGAATGAGCATGAAGCGTGCACGCAGAGGAGCACCGTCTTGATCGTGCCGCTGGCGTGCACGGGGCGCTTGCCGCAGCATGCGGCGTCGGCTCAGGCGACGGCGCTGAAGACCATGTTGAGCGCGCACTTCGGGGCGACTGACACGCCGGAGGCCAATGTGAGCGTGGCAGACGGGAGTCTGATCGTGCCGGAGGCGAAGGTGTGCGCGCCGAGCGACATGGTATTCGAGGCCGTACCAGAGGCCGTGCCGAACGACAGGTGAAGCGTTCCTCACGAGCTGAACAGTTCGCCGGAGGCCAAGCTGAGCATGCCGGGGTCGCTGGCTGGTGTGCGAGGCCAAGGAGCGCCAGTCAGAGGCCAGCCGCAGGGGGGCGCGCTGGGCCTCTACGCAGGTGGCCGTGAACATAACGGAAGTGGCCTTGGCGAACTCTTCGTCGACCGCGGAGGCCGTTAAGCACTTGGTTGTTCGGAGTATCGACATGTTGGGGATGGCGCGCCTCCATGGGCTTCGTCTTCCTGGAGTCTCGAATGCCTTACGCATGGCTGTAGGTCTGAAGACGGCGACTCAATTGCTATCTGACGGGGCGCCTGGTCGAGTCCGACGGCCGTTCTGAGCGTTTCTCCCCCCCCTTTCCCTCCCCTTCCTCCTCCTCCTCCTCCTCCTCCTCCTCCTCCTCCTCCTTCGCTGCAGCCGAGCGCCGTTTCGACTGGATCCTCGTTCTTGTGTTCCCTGCCGCCGAGCGCCGGCGCCCACGGCGACGCTTCAGCGAGTCGGTCCCCAGGCAGAGCAGCGCCCGCTGCTGCTGCTGCTCCTCCTCGTCCTCCTCTTCCTCTCTCCTTGGCATCGCTCGGACGTGTGCATGTTTCCTTCGGCGAGGACCATCGAGGAGCATCCTTGATCGGTCGGAGAAAAAAACACGCACGACGTCAAAAACAGCACAGGGAATGGACGTCCGGGCGATGGCGAGTCTCTCCCTTCCCTCCCCCTCCCTCTGCATGTTCTGTAGCATCCTTGATCAGTCGGAGAAAAAAGCACGCACGACATCAAAAAAACACAGGGAATGGACGTCCGGGCGATGGCGAGTCTCTCCCTTCCCCCCCCCCTCTGCACGTTCTCTTGTCGCTCTTGGCCGGGTTGGCGCCGGGTCCGCCCACGCAGAAGGTTCCGCGCCCGCCTGCCACGGCCGCGGCGCGCCGTGCGGCGACGACGGAGGAATTCGTTTGCTCCTCCTCTCTGTTCCCCCTTTCCTCCTCCTCCACTCCCTCCTCCTCCTCCTCCTCCTCCTCCTACTCCTCCTCCTCCTCCTCCTCCTCCTCCTCCTCCTCCTCCTCCTACTCCTAATTACTCCTTCCGCCCTCTCGCACCTCCTCCCCCTTCTCTTTTTGTGCAGGTGGGTCCGAGGCTTTGCTTAGAATCCTTTGTCCGTCCCCCTAGCGGGGTCGGGACTGCTCTCCCCCTCGCCCTCCCTCCCCCTCGCCCCTCCCCTCCCCTCCCCCTCCCCCTCCCCCTCCCCCTCCTTCCCCCCTCTCTCTCTTTCCCCTCCCCCTCCTTCCCCCCTTCCCCCCGCCCCCTCCCCCTCCTTCCCCACTCTCTCTCTTTCTCCCCTCCCCCTCGCCCCTCCCCTCCCCCTCCTTCCGCTCCCTCACCAGATTCTTGCCATCTGTTCTGATGCGCTTCGCGTGCGTTCGATGTGCCTCTCCTGTTTTCTGGTGGTTACGTGGTCAGTCGCGGACTTGGCCCGGGGCACAGGCTTGTGCTGCATTCCATCATCTCTCTGTATGGTTGTCCGCTCTTCCTCCCCCCTCTTTTCCTCCCGTTTTTCGGTTTCGGTTGTGCACTTTTTTGCACCCGCGGCATCCCGCCCACACACACATTGCGTTTTGCTCGACCCTGGGGGTTCCGCCGGGCAAGATCGACGCACGCGCTGCGGCGTGCGCCCGTGTGGCGAGCACAGGGCATCTCTGAACGTGCTTCTGTGCTTCACGCTGCTCTTGAATTGTCTCGCATTTTGGTGGCAGCCGCGTTGTGGGAGTTCTTGTGACATATGAGTGGTGCCTATTTCCGCGCTTCGCGCGTCTGCCTCACTTAAGTGAGAAGCCTTTCCCCGTCTGTGGTGAGAGTCACCCCGACAGGGCCGTTGTCTCTGCTGCGTGGTTGGTCCAGCTGCGCAAGCAATGGGATAAGAAAAAGGTCAATGTTCCACTCCCCGTGAGTCAATCCCCCCCGCTCTCGTTCCCCTTCGACTGCGGAGGGGGAAGACGAGGGTCGGAACAGGAAAAGGGGGATCGCAGTACGGTATGGTAAGTTCGCGCCGCGCTGGCAGGCGCGGGCATTCAAGGCTAAACGCTGCCCGTCGCCCAGAACTTGACGATATCGAACGCCGTGTGCACTATCGGTTTACGGGCCCACGCGGCGTCAGAAACTATCGGGTTATCGCCGATTTCATCTTTGCATGCACCATCGCAGGAAGGAAACCAGATGGAACAGGATCAAGGGAGGAGGAACCACCCCGACCCCCACCATTGGCGCTTATTGTTGAGTCAAGGAAGTTTCGTAGACGGCCCTGCCCTGTTCGATTCCGTCCTTGGGTGCGCGCACTGGGGGGCTTTGCTCGTCCGGGGGGCTTGTTCTGAGGGTGGTGTTTTTTGCCTCCCGCGGGATGGAGGAGGGGCGAGAATCCGCGCCTCCTGTGCGGCCTTGGCCTTTTTTGGCCGCCCCCGTGAGGCCCCCTCGCCGTCACAGGCGGGTCCACCTCGAGATTACAGTGAGCGTCTTGCATAAGGAACACCTACTTTTCAAAAAGGGGCTCGGTCGTTCCTTAGGCTTACATGCGTTATTTACAGTTCCTTATGCGTCATTTGTTATGTATCGTTCCTTATGCGTTATTCCTTGAGGTAAAAAGGGGCTTCGTTCCTTATTTATCGTTCCTTAGGTCAGGCCGATGACTGTATGGTCGGAGCGCGCTTTTGAAGTGGGTCCCGAGACTGGCTGGGGGGAGGTAGAAGGCTTCGACGGGCGGTGTGCGTAGAGGAACAACAACGTCAGAACACAAACATTCACACTCGAGGGTCCGCGCGGATCTTCCGAACCTGCACTGGGCCTTTTTTGCGGCGCTTCTGGTGCCTCCCTCCCCTTGCGCGCTCCGCGAGCCAGGGAGGGGGGTCCTGCGCCGATCCAACAAGTCCACGCGGACATCCGAAAATGAATGTTTGTGTTGTTTTTTTCCTCCAGAAGAAGCGGTCCGCGGCCGTGCGCGCGGGGATCCCAGAGAGGCAGGAGTCTCGGAGGGAACAGATGTGGCAGGAGGAGCGGATGGAGCGGGGAGGAGCAGGGCGAGGGAAGAGGCGATCAAGTCACCCAGGTTTTCGGTGGCACGCCCCTGGGTAATTTCGTGATGCAGCGCGAGCTTTCTAGCTGGGCAGGTTCCCACAGGCGCGCTGTGCA